ATAGATGATTTTTCCCCTCCAGATGTTCCTATGTTATTATCTAATAAAAGAAAGTCACTTTTAATGTTGTTATAATGTTTTATTTAAAATAAAAATAACTACCCTGTCACCTCTGGTCCACAATCCACCTCCTGTGTATGTGTGAGATAATGCACCAAGCACTCTGTGTGCTCGAAACGGAATCAGCCAAGCCAACCCACCCTGGAGTGGGGACACAGCTACTGTCCCCGGGGCCACTCTGATCACAAGCCCCCTGCATGCAGGAGGAAGCCTGGAGGTACTCTGGGCTGGGGAAGGGGGCACAGGGTGTGCACTGCTCCAGGCTTAGCTGCTGTTTATGGGGCTCCAAAGGATCTCTGAACAAAGGGATTGGGGAAGAGTGCTCCTCCTTAGGCCTGACAGCCTCAACCCCCGCTTCTGAACTACAGATAATCTGGACCCACTGCCCTCGCCTGACACGACTCTGAGTTGCCCAGTATCTAAAGAATCCATTGCTCTTTCCTATTCCTGAGTCCTGAAGAGATCTTCCTTTCCCTTGCAGAGAGTGTGAGGTGGGCAAGGGGTAGCCTGAAGTGTTGGCAAGAACTGTTCGCCCTTTTGACAGGTAGGGCTGAGGCAGCTGAGAGCTCGTGGGGCCCTGGGGGAGCAGGCCGCAAGGAGCCTGGGGAGTCAGTTCAACGGGGCACAGCCCCTCCCTGCACACCAGGCCCTCCCCTGCTTCAGCCTCCCCACAGCCCCTAGATGCTCTTCTCTGAATCACAGGCTGCTGCCAATTACAAAAGGACTCTTAACTCTGTTTCGCAACCCCTTGATTGATAGCACTGGTGAGTGAAATTATAAGCCTTAATGATCACGTTAATTTCTGGGGAAAGGGAAGCGGTCAGAAGAGGTTCTCAATCACAAGCGCCACAATCAGCTGGGTGAGTTCAATGACAGGCCAGAGCAGGGAAAGAGGGGGAAGAATTAACTTTTTTAAAGGTCATCAGAGAGTAACCAGGCATCAGAGATTCGGGGCACAGACGATCCTGGAGCCTGGACACGAACCCCCGTCCCGGGGCTCCTGACTGAGGGCGGGCATCAGTGCTTCTCCTCCTTAGCCCTGCTCCGAGGCGGATGCCCCAGAGATTCTGCTGTCACCGTGCTTGGGATATGGCTTGGAGGCTGGCAGCTGTGACAGCCCCCCACATGATCCTCTGAGCAGCCAAGATGGAGAACGACTCGTCTAAATGAAAGGATCTGGGGGCAAGTAGTTAGGATTGAGCGCATTTGGGAATCCACTTAACCTGATTGGCTCTTGCCACCACGGGGAGTTGCTTCTGCTGGTCTCCTGGCCCCGCCTGAAGACAAGAGTGAGAATAAGGCCACCCGGCTCTCCTGAGAATCAAACCTAGGACTTCGGCCTCCTCAAAGCATTGACCCTACTCACAGTTTCCCAGCAGAGCATTGCAATCCCGGGGTAGGTCAGGAAGCTGCGCAGTTGATGTGGTAACATCCTGGTTACCATATTAGGGAGACTGCCCTCTGCACGTGGCCGGGGAGGCCAGCTCAGCAGCGCAAGAGCTCTGATGGCCCTCCCGGATGGGCTCTGTGCTGGTCAGCTGTATTCGGAGCAAACAGCCACTTCGTGTTCCAAAACAGGCTTCACAAACCTAAAAAGATGATTTAAAAATACAGACTAAATAAAATAAATCATGCATCATTTGTGGTAAAGGCATTGGAGTTAATCAAAGAGAGTTATTGTTCTTCAATTTTTCCTAAGTGATTATAAAAAATGTTATTGTAGAATGAGTGGCTTGAGATTCTTAGAGCAGCGTACTAGCCGCAGAAAGTGGCTGCCAAGCTGCTTCTACATTATCAGTTAACCAAAAAAAAAAAAATACATTATCATTTATCTACTTTCTCTCAACCTTCCTCGTGACATGGATGCACTCAAACGTTCACAGGAGAGGCCTGGACAGAAAAATCGGGGGCAGCGGGCTCTAGGGTGGGCAGGCTGAGACCTACCCCGCCAGCCCGGGGAGCAGCACAGCAGAGGCGTGTCCCTGACAGAAACAGGCATCCTCTGTATTTTTTTAACAGCATCTGAAGTGTTCATCAAGCCCGTGTCTGATTAAGCACTTTTAAATTCTGAGCAATGAAATGGGCCCTCTCATCCCCTCTTGGCAGGAGTGCAAACTGATCCAACCCTTTGGAGAGCCATTTGGTTGTATGTATCAAAATTAAAAATGCATATAACCTTTGACCCAGAAATGCCACTTCTAAGAATTTTTTCCTACAGAAAGACCCCAAGTCCATGGGAGTGTACATGGAAAGATGGTTCTTTGCCGTTTGTTACAGTGAACAACAGCAAGTAACTTAAAGTCTTTATCAGTGAGGAATTAGTTGGATCAACTACAGTTAATCCATAAAATGGAATACTAGGCAGATGTTAAGAAGAATGAAGTAGAGCCACATGTCCCGCAGAAGAGACAGCCATACACACAAAAATAATTTGCAGAAACGTAGAACGTTTCCATTTTTCTAAGGATCATGGACAGCAACCACAGTGCACGTCTCTGGTCAAGGGGTTCAATTCCTGGGCTCCTAAATTGGACTAAAACCCCTAAACTACAAGTGAAATAATTTGGGAGCCTTAATTCAGCTCCTGAACTCACCTCCTGTTCTTTCTTTTCCCTAACATCAAAAGACAACTAAAAGTGATTCAAACGCAAAGGTAAGGCTCCTCACCTAATTGTCACAGTATGTAAATAATACTTTTGAAAAGCAATGCTCCCAGATTTAGAAAAACCATTTGTCAAAAGAGCACCAAAGACTGGTTTTTGGCTGCAGTAATCACTTGGCTACGCCCACCTTCTCTTGTTTGTTTATTCAAATTGCATATATGGGAATGGTATAACTTGAATTCATATATCCAAAGACTACTATGGCACAACCCCAGCCCCCCAACGCCAGCCATAGAGGGTATCTGCCTTAAAATCCATGCAAGCACAAAGGTTAGAGCACCCAAGCTGCAGCCAGCAGAGATCCCCAAATCCCAGAAGAGAGTGCTGCGGAGTTTTTAATCCTGGGCTTTTTCAAATGTTGAAAGCCAGCCTTGATTCATGCTTATCATGGCAGAGATGCCCCCGAACAGGCAGTTCCAGTGGGAATCTCTTCTAGGACAGGTCACTGGAAACTTACTCCCTCTTAACTTTACTGAGACTATTTTCAATGGATTAAAATAGATTCTATGGGGGCGTCTGGGTGGCTCAGTCGTTAAGCGTCTGCCTTTGGCTCAGGTCATGATCCCAGGGTCCTGGGATCGGGCCCCGTATTGGGCTCCCTGCCCTGCCGGAGGCCTGCTTCTCCCTCTCCCACTCCTCCTGCTTGTGTTCCCTCTCTCGCTGTCTCTATCTCTGCCAAATAAATAAATAAAATCTTTAAAAATAAATAAATAGATTCTATGATTGTGATAGATTTTATTATAGGTTGGCAATACCCTTCTGTCCCTCTCCTCCATGAGAGGAGTACACTTCCCTGCCCCGGGGGAGGCTGGGTTTGGCCAGGCGTGTCTGGCTTTGGCCAGTGGAAAGTGACCAAATGTGACATGAGCAGCAGCTTCAAAAGTGTTTGTGTGGTTTGGCTCAGACCCTCGCACTTCTGCACTCTGCCACGCAAAGAAGGAGCTTTCGGGAAGCTGCTAGTCCAGAGTGAGGAAACACCGAACACGCTTGAACCCAAAATCCAGCCTGGAGCCAGGCCCAGCTGAGCCTCCAGGGACCCGCAGTGCCCAGAGCAGGAAATTCAAGTTCGCTGGTGTAAGCTTTGCGGGTTATTTAGCATCCTTGAAGCAGAACTTGACCAAGACGGGGAGGAATAGCCTTAGACCCTTTGCTCAGCTTTACCAAATCTTGTCACTGATCTCATATTTGTTTCCGGTTCTTTTTTGTCTTATGAAATAAGCCATTTTAGCATCTTCTTGGTACCTTTCACTAATCCCATACGTTCCCAGAGGTAACCACTATTATGCAGTTAGTGTTTATCCTACTCATGTTTGTTTTAAATATTTGTGATATATTTATACCTCTATAAACATAATCTGGTCTTGTTTTATAAGCTGTAAAGCTTTACATAAACACAAAGCTCTATGCATCCTCTGTGATTCACTTCCCACCCACTCGCACACTGTATTTCACAACATGGACCCTTGTTGAATACACTGGCTCGAGTCTACTCGCTCTGTTGGCTTTATGTATAATACTATATATACCACAGGGTACCTATTCTCCACTGGTGGACATTTTCACTGTCAAACATGAACAGTGTTGCAAGGAACGTTCTTGCACACATCTTTGAGTACCTTGCTTTTCTCTAAGCCTCACTTCTCCTCTGTGTGGACTCAGCAGAGGAGTGCCTGCCTGGTCGACCTTGCACACATGCAATCTCTAAGGTCAAATTAGCCAAGAGTTGCTAGGAGCTCTGCTCCGGACTCTTGCTGGAGCTGCTTCCCAGGGTGAACCCACGGCACCCCTGGCCTTGGGCACCTCTGATTTCCGCCACTGGCCTCTGGCAGTGGGGCCGGTGCCCTGAGATTCGCTGGGAACCTCTGAAAGCACTTTCTACTGCTCCTTCCACATCTTACTCACCAATGCAAATCCTCACGCTTTATCTTTTTGATCATTAAATGATTTCAAGTTCCTGGTCAGGACTGAAATGGTGGCGAGAGAGTTAGAGGAGTGAGTGAATGAAGACTCTGTTAATTGGCGTCTTTCTTCTTCACACAGCAATTTTTCTAACAGATGCAATTACATTTGAGAACTGCAGAGAACGGAATCTTATGTTTTATTTCTTTATTCATCATTTTACAAATGGGATTCACTGTAAAAAGGAAATTGCCTTTGTGGTTCAGTTCTTCAGGCTGGAGTGCTCTGAGTTTCAGTTTCTACACCAGCTGATACGGCCACCTCGTAGCTGGTGGGGCAAGAGCCAGCCAGGGAGGGAGGCTAAGAAATCAGGTAGAGTTCCTTTAAATCCAATATATTTTTATTCTTTGTAAATACAATGAGTACAACCTTTTAACTTCACAAATCAGTTAATTCACTTTGTACAAGAAAAGTTTTACTCATCCTATGATAGTCCAAGTGCTGAATATTTTTCCTCAGTGCTAGTACCTAATAAATCAAAATGTGAAAAGTACAGCAGCTATTTTAAAATGGTTGTTTCTACATTTCCATAAGTATAGATTCATACCAAAGGAGCAGCTTATAGTGTAGGACGGAGTGTGTGAGTGTGTGTGTGTGTGTGTGTGTGCATGCGCGCATTCAAGGCTTTACTAGAAACCGGTTTTCTGAAAGGCATTGAAGAGTCTCAGGCTGTTAGCAATGGATCAATCAAGAAACCTTTTAGCCTTCATCTCCTTGTGGTTCCTTCTGACATCATGTCTCTGTTCATTTATTCTGGTGTGACTCGCTGAAACACGAGTTTGGACCCCCATCGCCTTTGGTTTCAGCACTTTGTTAACGGGACAGCGATCTGCCTCATCCTTCACCTCCACTTTATTTGGTTTTGCTGTTTTTATTCATCCTCCCTCAACTTGTGTTCTTTTAGTAAAGCTCTTCTATTTTTGAGATGTTATCCAACCTGAAGTCCTGGTGAGAATCTCATTTTCGTCCACCAGTTCCTTGGACAAGGTTGCCTGGCCTATAGTATTGAAGAGAAGGAGGAGGAGGAGGAGGAGGGGAAGAAGAAGAAGAAGAACAAAAGAAAGAGAAAGGAGAGAAAACAGAGAAAAAGCAAGTCTCACGGCATAAGCTACCTTTCATTTACTAACTCAGTCCTGAAGGCCACTTCATGATGTATTACGATAGAAGAAAAACTTTTGATAAAACTTTTGCTTTAAAACCTAACCATTATTTTTTAAAATAAATTCTCCAACAGAAAATAGTTCTGAAGGCTGTCGTATGATGTTACACACAGAGCTCTATTTGGTTACCCAACTTCATATGCTAAAAAGGAAAAGAAAGTTCTACTGATGGTTCAGCTTTTGAGAGTTCAGCCCGATATTCCAGGTAGGAGGCAGAATGGCACGGCCTGCGGCAACCCCTGAATCGGGGGGCCCCCTTCCCAGGGTGTGGCAGCAGGGAGTTCTCTCTGTTCAGGTGGTCCTGTGATGCCCCCTTTCCTTCCCCACTGCCCCACCCTGGGGCAGCACATCAAAGCAACTGGAACTGTTTTGTGTCCATTGGCATGTTTTTCTGAAGGCTACACATTCCCAGGTTTATGCTTCCTGAAGGGTTTGTTAGTTGAGGCTTGTTCTCCGTGGGTCGAAGTTCATCAGATACTGTCCCATCCTGAAAAGCGGGGACTCGGAGCTTAGATATCACTGGATTTGTACATATCTGAAAGCAGTCTTGTAATTGGCACGTTGCCGATGGTTTTTTTGAAAAACACTTCTTCTATGGTTGATGGACTAATAGATCGTAAAGCTGGCAAAAGCAACAGGAGTTTTCCAAAGCGACAGGGTTGCGTGGGATATCTGGAAGAGGAGAAGCCACGAAAGCAAGGTAAGATCCATTACTCTTGTTAAGTCATACCCCGTACTTGAAGGCACACCCTCTTCCTGGCTGGGCCTCTTTACTACCCCACCCGCCCTGCAACAGAGGCCCCCACAGGTGCTTCTGGCCCTGCTCTGCAGGGTGAACAGTTGAGGCATGAAGAGCCTAAATGATGCTGCCAAAATCACGTGGTGACTGTCTCTACATTAGCAAAGGGCTTGCATTTTGTTTGGAGGAAAAGTAATTTTAATTTTTTTTAAAGATTTTGTTTGTTTGAGAGAGAGAGAGGTGAGAGAAAGAGCACAAGCAGGGGGAGCTGCAGGCAGGGGGAGAAGCAGGCTCTCCGCTGAGCAGGGAGCCCAATGTGGGGGCTCGATCCCAGGACCCCAGGATCATGACCTGAGCCAAAGGCAGACGCTTAACCGACTGAGCCACCCAGGCGCCCCGGAAAAATAATTTTGAGAAACATGGTACTAAGTTCGGGTCAGAGAATACACTGAAGGCTGCCAGGGTAGGAAATCACCACGCTGCTGAGGATAAAGGTAGAGCTAACATCCACGTTTTCTGATTCGCAAGGCTCCTTCCTCAGCTCGTTCCCTCAAATAAAATGGATTCCTTTTCTAAGCCGTTCTCCAAATTATTATTCAGGCATTATACTTAGTCACTCTCAGGAATAATTCCGTCCTTATTACACTGCAAATTAAGGACTAAGTTCTGTTGGGTGGTAGTGCCATCCAACTTTCATGTCAATGAAATTGGCATGTAATTAAAGATGTGAGAGATTGCTTAACAATTTCCTCTCTTGATGTCCAACATACGTCTGTGCTCAGATGGGCAAGTTCAATTTTCTGCTGCCCTTAGATGCCTGTAACCTCACTGTGGCCCGGATGCTCCCTCCATCAATTTTTTACCATCAGCTACCTATGTATTTCACAAGGAGGGCTCCCGCCTCTACAGCACACCACCCAGAAGACTGCACTCCTGGAGCACCTGTCTGTAAGTAAGCCAGGTTTAACCCCTCCCTGGCCACAGCGTGCTAGAAACTGACAGATAGCAAAACTCCTTCAGAGGAGTTAGGTAGCTGAACGCTGAGTTTAACTGACCAGTAACTGCACCCTGCAAATAGAATCCAGGGGAACCATTGTCACGGCTGTCTCTTGGCTTTGGGCACCTGGGAGTCCCTCTCTTCAACCTGATACTAGGCTGGTAGGTCTTTCTGGGCCTCTGAGGACCTCGTTTGGCTCTTTTGCTGCCACGCTTCATTACCACCCATGGACGAGGACCACCAGACTTGTAATCCCAAGACCCACGTCTCCCTTCTACTTTACTCTCTTCAACAGCTCTGTTTCCCTTCCCAGGGTCAGGCCGAGGAGCAAGCACCCTGCAGTGGGTGGGAGGCTGTGGCTGCCTAGAGAGGCCTCCGCTGTGTCTACAGAACTCACCCAACATTCTGGAAGTTTCCCACAGTGAGGAAATACTGTGGGAAATAGTAACTTCCAGAAAGGATGGATTTTGGAGAAACCATAGACCATGAACTCTTGATTTTCTGCATGTAGATTATCCACTCACCTACTCACCCACTTCTTTTATTTCCTAGTTGGGAAGGGGCTGGTTAGTCAACAAGAATGAATTGTCTGTTCTTTGTGGAGTCCTGTACTACCTAGAAACAGTAACAGTGTGTGTGTGTGTGTGTGTGGCAGAGAGAGAGAGAGAGAGAGAGAGAGAGTCTAACTACTCAGTATTATTTTTTAGAATATCTATGTCCCGTGGGGCACCTGGGTGGCTCAGTCGTTAAGCGTCTGCCTTCAGCTCAGGTCATGATCCCAGGGTCCTGGGATCGAGGCCCGCATCGGGCTCCCTGCTCTGTGGGAAGCCTGCTTCTCCTTCTCTCGCTCCCCCTGCTTGTGTTCCCTCTCTCGCTGTGTCTCCCTCTGTCAAGTAAATAAATAAAATCTTTAAAAAAAAAAAAAAAGAATATCTATGTCCCTGATTTCATCCATTAGCATAAATAACTGGAAGTTTTCTTTTCAGGCATAAGTGTTCTGTGTCTGTCACAGATCCGTGTATTTGATCTTCAGTTATAGTATACAGTTTGTGTGAGACGCCAATTGCTAGCTTTTTCCTTATGTCCCAGATAATTAGAGAAGTAGCCTACAGAGCTGAGTTTGCGATTTTAACAATTAATGCATAATTAGCTCAGTTTGCAATACTGACTTTTCATTTCAATTTTGGATCTTATTTATCTAGACAGGAAAGTGCTAGAGGAGAATGTTCTCTGATTGAAGGAGCTAAGAAATAAGGCATATGCCTTTTGTCCTATGTACAACTCTAGGTATTAATATTAATTATAGGGGCACGTGGGTGGCTCAGTCAGTTGAGCGTCCAACTCTTGGTTTCAGCTCAGGCCATGATCTCGGGGTCTTGGGATGGAGAATGGAGACTGCTTGGGATTCTCTCTCTCCCTCTCTCTCTGCCCCTCCCCCCTTCTCTAAAAAAATTAAATTATAACTATAGCTCATATCATGAAATAAAAATTCCTTGTCAAAGCAAATGTGTTCCTTCAATGAATAACTTCCTTGTTTTGAGGCTGGGGAGAAGTAGTATATTTGCTATTTTCCTAAAATAGACTCCTGTTAATTTGTGGTTGAGCTCTCTCAGGTCACCCTAGAAGAAGTTTCTGGTGGGCCCTGCCCTCTCAGACTCCCCTTCCTGGGCTCTGGCATCTCCAGTGCCTCTCCCACAGTCCCTGTGCTGGCTCTCCTCGCAGCCCTTCTCCCCTGCTGAAGGCCTGCCATTCAAGGATTGGCTCACATGTTATCTCCTCCATCACCCAGCCTTTCCAGACTTGCCCTCACCAACTAGAATTCATCTCTCCCACTCCCCACTTTGCTTTTTCTCTCTTCGCTGGTCTGAACTGAATGAACACTTCTGTCTACTTCATGCAGTGATAAGGGGGAAGTGTCTTGTTCTGTCTGGTGTCCCACAATTCTCACCAGGAGCCCTGCATGGAGCGAGTACTCAGCAAGGCTTGACTGAATCAGTAAGTGGTTATCATATTCTTCTCAGTGTGATGTTCTTTCTACCTTAATGACTTTAAATGTCAGAGTCAGTCATGATATACAAGTTAGTTTTTAGTGGGCAAAAAGTGCCCAAATTATGTACTGTTCCATTTTTATAATTTTGAGCAAATATTACGTGCTTACTATACATTCTGAAATTTAACATGGGTTTAAAATTTTAAAACCATAGCACTTTAATTTGAAGGCCATGTACACAGGCACTATCACTCAACATAATTTCAGTGATATTCCATGGACAGGGAACGGTTTTATTCATTAGTTTTCAAAAGAGGATTTAAAACAGAAATAAGCAGATTCATAGCAGAAGCAGTATCACCCCCAGTGAATACGACTGACTTGGGATTTCTCCCACCCCTTAGGTGAGGAAGGCATGAACTGCCTTTAGCTACTCAATTTAGTTACTCCCAGCACAGTGTCTGTGGGTGATGTTGAGATGATGGAGACAGGTTTCCATGGGCTTCCTTTCAAGGTCAATCTGAGAATAAACAATACTAAGCAACTCTATTCTAACCTCAGATCTACTGCAATCCTAACTTGGGAAGCTAGCAAGGTTCCGCTACTCTTTAAGAGCCTTGCTTTTTTTCATCTGAAAATGAGATCACAAAGTCTATACCTCTTGGTGGACTTGTCCATTGGTGGGCCAGGAGGAGCACTCCTGGAGCCCCAGGGGCTGAGCGTTTCTACAACGAGCCAAGAACAGCCCCTTCCAATGGGCTCGGCTTGGGCCAGAAGATGCCTGATGGATGCTATGACTCAAAATAACTCAATGGATACCAGTCACCAAAGCCAAACAGCAGTCACGATGGGGTTAAAGATGGCCTCTCAAGGATGATGCAAATGTGTCCACATGTTTTGATGGATCTGCTTGTTCAGCCAGGCCAGCCATACGGGGTCTGGCAATGCTTTCACTTTGATAATCTAATCTGATCTGCTCCTCTCACCCACCCTGTGAGATAAGTGAGATTCTAACTGTGTTAACTGGGGGGCAACAGGATAATTAGTCACAGAGTTTGAACTGGCTTATTACTGCCTGCTCACACATTCACAATGGAAGCAATTTTTTTTAAGTACACAGTCAAGGCAAACAAGAGTCACCTGGTATGGATGTAGCTGTTGAGGGTTAGCTGGGCCTCATCTTGAAGGGCTGCGATGGCAGCAGCATTCCGGAAACTTCTCAGCTCAGAACCACTGTGTGTAGGAACTAGAAACGAAGACGGGGGAAACTATGATAAGCAGCACAGAAATGCAGATGGGAAGGCACCTCTCTGGAAATGGATGGCCAGCAGGAGAACAGGTAGCGCCCCCACCATGGAAAACTGGGCCAGCCCCAGAGTATCAGCTCCCTTAAAAAAATCCCCTCTTTTTGCAATTATCAGTCTGGACTCTGAGGTGGCTGAGGGAGTGAGGTGGCAAACCTGGCGAAGGAGAGAAGGTGGGGGTTTGCGTCAGCTTACCAGCTTTGAAAGTGACGATGCATTTCAGACAGGCAAATTCGGTAGCATCTAACCGGAGTTGTCTAAATCGGGCCACCACCTCTTGTAAAGCTTGTATTTCAGATATGATCTTGTTCAGCTTCTGGGAATCTGTGTTGTCACCGTTCATGCCTAGAATAGAAATAGGGAATAAATGCTCTAATATGAGGGCATTTTCACGATTTAATATTGATTTTTGACAGAATTCTGCATATCAATATCTATTCAATTGTCACTCTAAGATATCTGATTCCCTGTAAACTGGCTATATTGTATGAAAGTTAATGTAAAATCTTCTCTTGGATGATGACAAACACAGTAATTTGCATTTAAATAACAATGCAAGCAGTCATGAATACAACAAAACAACATTATTTGCATTTAAATATAGATTTATAAGTGACAGGTATACTCTATTGTTCAGCAGGAATTTGTTATTCTTTACATGTTGTTCTTTTTTCAGTAATGTATTTTTATGGTAATTTCTACAACAAAGTCATTAAATTGTGCAATTCTTACCAGATACAGCCAGTAGAGTGTTAGCATCAACCGGAATGGCCCATTGTGCTATTCCTAGAACAAACAGTTCTCTCCAAGCATCTTCCAAAAGCATCAGCTGTCGTACAATAGATGTATAATATAATATAGTGTGTAATTTATAAATTTACAAACAATTTCAATATGTAAATTTCCATTATCTTAAAAAGTGCTTTAAATGCCTGTCTTGGTAATTTTTCCTCTGAATATTCCAGCTTTTCCTTTATTTTCCATATTTTCCTTTTTGAAAAGGTGCCTAGAGATAAGCACAGGCTTCTGAGAGTCAGCCATTCCAATTCCCCAAACTTTGCTTCCTTTGAAAAGGGTTTACCCTTCTTGGCCTTGCATCTATTCATTCCCGACCACCTAGAAACTTCTCCAGAGACCCAGGCTCTATGAAATGCCACCAGCAGCTCAGCAGGCAGATCCCCTTCATATAAAATGCTGGTATTATCAGGGTTGAGGATTACAGACTAAGCGTGCAGATCTGGGCCCCCATCTTCCTAGAGGGTTGGGGGGCTGGGCTGGGAGAGAGAGAGAGAGAGAGAAAGAGAGATCACTAATTCCCAAGAGGCATGCAGGGAAATCAGGGTGTAATTATGTTAATCGGGTTGTGCTGAGTTTACCTCATCTCACTCCCTGATTTTTCTGAGACTCATAAGTGGACAGCATCAAGGTGCTTGTCATTTTCACTCTAATAAAATGTGCTACTGAATATTTAAAATGAAAATCTGGCTCCTTTTCCAAATTAATATACTGGATTCCACTTCATTGCAGTTTGCTTGTTGTTGAAGGGTTTCCACTGAAGGGCTAAGTGGCAGACAGTAAGTAAATTTTGTTTGTATTAAAGAGTATACAAATACCGGTTTTCAGAGAAAGTAGCCAGCACACACACACACACACACACACACACACACACACACACAGCAAATGGTTAGAGTCAACCAGCAAACCTGGTCAAAGATAGAACCTAACTATTTTGAAAAAAAGCTGTTTTTGAAAAATCTCTCAAAAACCAGTCAATTCTGGATGATTTATGTGAAGGTATTTCCTTTTGGGAGCTAAGAGCTGAATTGTGAAGGCTTGTAACCAAAATCACAATCAGACCAAAAAGGTTTAATTTTGAAAATGCTTTATTTTTAGTTTTATTGCATTAGGTACAGAAAATAATACTTTAAAATGCAAGGTAAACAATATCTAATTCTGATCATGTCTGAAAGTCCAGGCTATGGAAAAAAGAACATCCCATGCTAGAAGATTAAATGTTTTGAGCACATTGCTAGGTCTCTCTGTAGGAAACATACTTCAATATTAAAGGGCACCATTATGCTTTAATTAGGTATAAAATGAACTAAAGAAATAAGCCACTTGCTTTCAAAACTACTTATTAGCCTTTTGAGAAATTTGTCATTAATTTCCACGAATGTACTGGTAACGGCCAATGGTTATGAACACTTCATTTTCTTTCTTGCCCTTAAGATTAGAAAAATTCTGGCAGAGGCTATTTCTGAGATCCCTAACAACAAAATTTCTGGCCTTTGGTACGATGTAATTTTAAGCAGCATATACTTTTTCTCCCTCTGACTGTCATTTACAACCACAGAATTATGCACAATGCCCATTTGTTTACAAAATCTCTAAAAGTACTTCAAGAATTAAGGGAGATCCTAGCCTGTAGGAGGTGTGCAATGCACCCCATAACCAAACATGCTCATCAATTAGTGGTCAAGGTCGTGAGTATCACAATGGAAAATATAAAGCTGTGAACATGAAATAATGAGACTAGCTCTGAAAATCTTACAGGCGAATACTCTCATCACCTATTTCTCTCAGGTCCAATATTCTTAAGAAACATTGTTTTATTAACAATTTTAAATGTCATTAAGATTTTTTAAATTTGTGATTAAATTTGATGTTTCAATTAAACTTAAAAAAAAGAGAGAGAGAATGTTCTTGTATATTTGTTTTTCATAGACCAGATCCAACTTTCCTGAAATAACATAATTACCTTTCTTAGTAAGGATACCATAGCTAGGTATTTTGAACCCATCGTAGGAAGCTAATAAAAATTGTCTCCTCATTGCTGTTAAAAACGGATGCCTGGCCTTCAGGATTTATCCAGGTGACCTCCAGTTTCATAAGGCTGACCACTGTTGTTTTTTGTTTTTTTTCCCCCAGGCCCCTTCCCCAAGAGCTCAGTGCCCTCTTGGTCATACCTGGTCCTGCAAAGATAGCGTGGAGAAAGCTGGTACACTCTTAGCCCACTTGATGCTCATAAACAGAAGCCTGGCGGCTGATTCACACACAGACTCTGTGGCCACTTCATACAGATACATTGGGGTCCCATTCACTTCATGGGGGTACTGAGCGGGGAAGAAAGAGAAACACCAGGGAGTGAGGAAACCACAGCTTTGCAGGAAGAGCCAAACTTTTAATTTCCTAATTAGAATAGGGAAGGAGATAGGCATTTGGATGTTCTGCTTAAACATGCAGTTGCCACTGGTAGACAAAAAACAAACATCTATATCTATAGACTTTGAGAAATAATAACCACTGGGAAAGGCCCATTTCCAGTCTTTGGGGGCTTGTTCCTTCCAGAGGGGCATCTGGCTTTTCTATCCCCTGCAGCAAATTTTCCTCCGACTGAGCCAAGTGCCAGGCCTGTCTCCCAATTTAGACAAGAGCTGCTTGCATTTGTGTAAATAAAAATAGATGTGAAAAAAGTATAAATTAATAGGCATCCCAAACACAAATATGCATATGAGTATTTTTAGAAAGGATTAGTATATTATGGAAATATTTCAATTAGACATCTTAATCATTCACAGAGCATTCCCATTCATAACTGACAACATATTCATAACACTACTTTCCCAAGCTTATTATACACATCAGGGGTAAGAAAGCAATATTAAATATTGTGCTTGTGCGTGTGCCCAGGTGTTTGGCTTCCCTGCAGTTTGGGGCTGCAGCTGGCCCTCCCCTTCGCGGCCCGGAGTGGGTGCTTTGGGTAGGTACCAGCTGGAAGCCTGGAAGGTAGTCCCTAGGTGGCAGCCTTTTGAAGTGGTTCAGGCTGTGGCCCTGCTCAATAGAGACTCAATCCTGGTATAAATACATGCACCTCAGAAGGCAGTGAAGGGAGAGCGGAAGACCAAACCAGCTCCCTCAAACTGTCCTAACAGGTGAGCTCCACCTGTTGTTGCTGCATTAGGGACCCACAGCCTTGCCCCAGAAAAACAGATCCCTGCGATCTGCCGCAAAGGGACTCTTCTCTGCCGGCTGCAGCCAACTCCTTTCTCCTAAAAACAGAAGTGCTCCTCTGGTCTCCGGAAATACCGAGGTTGCCCCTCAGTTCAGCCGGGACTCCACACCAGGGCATTATTTAAAGGTGCGAATTCCTGGGCCCCACTTCACACTTGCTGAAAGGGACTCTATGGGGGATGGGCCAGGAAGTCCACATTGTAGCCAGCTCAGAGAGTGACTCTACTGTCCACGAAAATTTGAACACTCCTGGCTTAACAGGGGAGAGTGGGGGGCCGACAACTCCCTGCAGAGCCCGACCCCGAGCACCAGGCGAGGTCGCTCTGTCTTTGGCTTGACCCCATCCTAGCTCCGGAGAGATGGGAGCCCCCGCCCCCGCCCTCAGTTGGCCACCAGACTCCCTAGAGTCCAGCAAGGGCACGGACCTTGGGCGTGGGCTGAGCCAGGCTCACGAGAGTCTGTCGCTCCGGGGTGGCGGACACGGCGGCCAGCTCCAAGCCATGTGGCTCGAGCTGCGTGACTGCGGTGAAGAACGCCGGCGCGGGCAGCGCGGCGGACGGGAAGTGCGCAGCCGCCCCGTTCTCTTCCTTATGTCCACGGAAGTAGAGGGCCACCTGCTTGCGAATGGTGGACGTCCGAGGCCCCCGCTCGTGCTGCACGGCTGCAGAGACAGACAGATGGACGAATGCCCAGGATCAGAGACTCGACAACACTTAGCCGCTGCCGAGCTCCCGGGCCAAACGCCCCGTCTGGGCAGGCAAGGTCACTCAGAGGTGAAGAGAGGGAGGGGCAGGGATGGGCGGGCGGAGGACGCTCTGCGATCTCACTCTTACACTGCAGGCATGAGAGAACTGAGGCTGAGAAGGGGAGCCCGACCCCAAGTGTCACGATAATGGCCAAGCCTCCAGCAAGACTAGGTGTGTTCTCTCGTGCGTTCAGGGCTCTTCCCCACCCAAGAGAGGTCGCGGAGAAACCAGAGACCCTGGAGGGGGGCGGGAGGGGAGTAGTTGGGTATCCTTGTCCCCGACAAAGGGGAAAGGGAGCACTGTGCCCAGCCAGGCACTGCGTCCCTACATAGACTTTTCCTGCTCAGCCCAACCACGGCTCCCCCCACCTCCACCCCCGCGGAAAGGGTGTTTGGCCTCCGAGGGCCTCCGGAGAAAAGGACCCTAGCTGGTGACACACTGGGGGATGGAACGAGGGAGAGTCCGTCTTGGAGTGTGCTGGAGGAAGGCAGGGGAGATGTGACAATTACCGCCAACAGTTTAAACAAACAAATTAATTCAGGGCAATCTTCTGCTCGCAGAGCTTGACAACTTGTCAATACACAAGTTCAACAGGTTGGACGTTCCCTCCTGCTTCCTGCGCGGCTAAGGAAGGAGCTCTCCCCAATGGGCGCTGTGCCTCCTGGAGCTGCCACCCGGCCCGGACCGTGGCCAAGGCAAACCCTCTCAGCATCCTGTCCTGAGGCCCCATTCCTCCCTCCCGGCCATGACCCCGGCTCCCGGCCCCCGGCCAGGCCTGGGGCGCCCTCACCAGGCCACCACTGGGCACGCACTCAGCCTGCTCTCTCCGCCCGAGAAGCATCTGATGCCCTAGTTCTTGCTGCACGAGTTTAACAGCCTTCTGAAAGTCGTGTGTCCAAGGCACCCACAGGCGTCACCCTGCCTCTCCCATCCCCTTTTTGTAGAACCGAGAGAAAAAGCCCAGATCGCCACAGTGGCTGTTCTGGTTTGGGAATCTTGATGAATTAACAAACACGGGCTCGAAATTCCGCGTGTTTGTGTCTCTGCCCTTCCCCCTCCAACACAGTCTCCCAGTCCCCACAGTCTCCAACCTCGGAGACTATCCAGACTGCGAGATCCTGCGGAAGGCTAACAGGCTTAGAGGTGGCCACAAAAGAGCTGCAAGGAGAGGTGAGAAGAGGTATTAGGACATGAAGCAGGAAATACCGCGCACGTGTGTGCCCAGCAGAGTGGGGTCCCGAGAGCGCTGTCTTCATGGGGGTGGTTGGGGGGCACAAGTTTCCTATGTAGGTGTGGGCCATACCTCCAGAGTTCAGTGGGGTGGGGGTGGGGACTCATGCAGAGAGACGGAAGGATAAGACTGAAAGTCCGAGGCCAATTCCCAGCATCTGGAAAGAAGTGCTCCAGAGATGATTTACATGCATTGGAGTGCCATGTATTTTCTGTACATATAATTTACTTACTAGTCAACCAACATTAGAGAAATAAAAAGCTGTACTGATTACCATCTTTGTTCATGTTGACTTCCAAACACTTCTTCAGCCGACACGCCCTGCACTGGTTTCTGTGCGTCTTGTCCACCGGGCAGCCTCCCTGGAACAGAGCGCAGGCGGTCAGCGGGCCCCAGGGCCTTTAGACTGGAGACGCGAAGCCGGCGCCGGGTTGGGGAAAACGTGGAGGCGGGAATGGACCCTGCCACCGATCTCGGAGCTGCAAGCCTGGGTCCGCGAAACTTGGAGGCCTTGGGCACGAGCAGGGCTAGGTTGGGAGAGGGCCAGGATTCCCCGGGGCTCCTTCAAAAGGAACAGCCCCTGACCCTGTGAAAGTGGATAAGGAGGAAAAGTCCTTCGCCATGCAGGTGAAGGGTCAACGCGCCTGGTTTGCCTGACTCTGCCGTGTTGGGAGGAGAAGCCCTGGAGGGGAGCTTCCGCCAGGCTCGGAGGTCGTGGAACAGGGGCGAGACTTTTCAGGACCGAAGACAGCGACCTGGCCCCAGAGGAGGAGGCTTCGGAGCTCAGTTGGGAGGGCGCTTGTCAGCCAGGATCCCCACCACGCCCCCCTCCTGCCAACTATTCTTTCCGCCTTCAGGTCTCGAGTCTACTTCTTTCTGTCACTTGGGGGGCGGGCATTTATTTGTCGGATACATATTTCCCATTTATTCTTCACTCTCTTGTTTCCTCACTCCTGGGGTTGTACTTGAAGCCACCCTTATAACTAGCATGTTAAAGATGTCTTAAAGACTGGCCTTAGCCCAGATTCATGGAAACACAGCCATTCCTGGAAGGTGAGGCAGAAGCCAGAGTGGTTAGCAGGGCAAGGCCTACAGAGGTGAGGATAGGAAGGGAAGAGCCCAAGGCCTGGGCAAAATCTAGAAATGCCCATTATGTAAATATGACCAGGAAGATAATGTGATGGACTGTCTGACAAAATGATAATATGGACTGAGAATATTGGCATGGTAACTAGAAAAGAAGAGCTAATTACTGCCTTAGAAATATTTGAGATGCACGAGAAAAAATGTTCTACCTAATGCAATTTTCTGGAAAAATATTGGCTATTAGAAGAAGAAATTTACAGAGAAAATTTCTTATGGAATTCATTCAGTGTTAGGTGTTATTCCTGAAGGAACATATACATAGATACATAAAGAGTCATATCTACATATGCATTTTATACACCAAAAATATATAAGAAGTTTCGTGCTCTCCTATATTTATATGACTTGCAACTGTTACAAGTACTGTAGGGATAAAGAGAATAAAATAAATGTATTTTTATTTTCCTTCATAATCTAAAAAATTCATATACTGTGAATTTGGGGTAGGCACATTTTCTGAAACAGCCTTTAGGAAAAGATTACACACGAATACATTTTTTTAATGAGATCCCACCCTTCTGATTTAAAATATGTTGAGGTATTTAAAATAAGGGCAGGGCAGAGGTTTGTAACAATTTCTATATGTCCTCATTACTGTTAATAATAAATTGGAATATTGTTTATCTAGAAATAATTTTTGCTTTCTAAGTGAATTCTTCAGGGCATCTTTGCTGGCCAGTGTAATAGCTCAATGTAAAGAGGGTTAAAGAACTTGTTATTAAATGCAATCATATGTCTTTCTTCATATGTTATCTTCCTCGTATTCTGATAAACAAGCTAATGCAAAATGGAAGCCTTCACTTGTTCGTAAGAGTGTCTTCAAATCAGATCACATGTATATAAATATCTGAAGCTTGAGAGAAAGATGAGTGCTTGAGCTCAGCCCATTTATTCTCTCTGCAAGGAGAGGACACCAAGCCTGATGAGTCTATTATCAGTCCTTTACAAGGACTTGGACTGACATCAATATGTTTGAATTGATAGCCAACCCCTTTGAAAATATCAAGCATCACATCTGAGATTTTGATTCCCTAATTCTGTGCATTGCATAAAATTAAAAGGTAATTTAAGTAGAAGCCTGCTCAAATCTGATGACCCACAGTAATACTCCATTCCTGCGGGGCTACAGGGATACAGTCCTGCATGTGTATGATGTGATGTGTCCATATGGTGATCTAGAAACTGATACAGAGCTGTGTACCCAATTAAACGGGTACCAGGGCTGGAGTTCAAAATAACTTATCCAAATATAAGTATCTTCTTATTTTTGTTGATAATCCAAATCTATTGGAAATTGATAAGAGCAGACATAGCTTTAGAAAAAGAATAATTCGCTAGCTCCAGACAATATGTGTGTGTGTGTATATCATATATAAATATTAATTAATGAAGATGTTTTACCATTTTGGTTACCAAGGGATGACTTCTGACTAACACACTCTCCAGGGTCTTCTTGGGAGTCAAGGTGGTAGCTCTGTGCTGAGAGTCTGTGTGCCTGGCCTAGGAAAAGGCAGTGTGGAACCAAAAGACTGATCTCCCTAAAATGATCCTATTACTGAGCTGGAAACTGAGTCAGGGGGTCCTACTTTTTCTTTCTGGAAGCTTTGGCTCACTCTCAGCCCATGTTCTAATTCCCTTGTCTTTTTGAGACCGTTCTGCCTGCTCAAGACCAAAACACAACCAACCAGGCACATCTTCTAAACAGAGAAAGAGAAGATATGGGAGCCTTGGAGAGGATCCCAGTTGCCCCTTCCTTGAGAGCTTTCTCTTCTTGCCCACTCTGCCCTTTCCTGACAAGGCCTAGCTAAAGTCTCATGGGTGCCAAAGCCCCACTGCTCACTTCCAGTGCAGTCCTGCTTCTCCGAAGTTGAAAGGACAAAGCCCTTCACACAGCAAGTCCTGTGTTCCAGATGGCCACACTCACCTCGGGTGGCAGCCTTGCCTGGGATGCCCTGTGCCTTTTACTTCTGCCAGGGCAGGCAGGGGTCAGCGCACTGAGCTAGGGCTGCTGCTAGGAATGGGGGAGCGGGGGTGGGGTGCGGGCAACGCAACACAGCCTTCCCTCCAGCTTGCAACGTGTGGTTTAGACTCTAAAGTTCCTTAGGCCCCCTGGGCTGGCTCTAAAGCGGCTGGGTGAGGGCCATACCCAGTGTCAAAGTCTGGGAGAGAATTACAAAAAGCGGGGTGGGGGGTGTGTGTGCAGGGAGGAGCCCGGATTTCAGATTTCCCCCGGCACACTCCTGTATCTTCCCTTACCTCTTCCCGCCTTTCCCACGCGGAAGGGCCTCTGAGAGCTGAGGCGGGAAGGAGGGGAGAGGAAGGGAGAGGTCAGGGCTCGGTCTCTCCCCAGCAGCTTGGAAACTCGGAGGAGGCCTGGGCACAAACAAAGGAGGGGGAGGCGGCGGAGGGGAGCCGGGCAGCGCAGCCCTGGCCGAGGTACCTGGTTTCCAGATTTGCAGACATACGTCCTGTTCCTTCTGATACTCCGTTTGAAAAACCCCGAGCAGCCGTCGCAGGCGTAGACCCCGTAGTGTTTCCCCGAGCTGCGGTCGCCACACACTTTACAGGGGATATCTAAAATACGGCCTGCAATGGCAGGAAAGACAGGCAAGGGGGGAAGGGAAGAGAGGGAGAGGAGGGCGGAGAAGAGGGAGGCAAGGGGGAGCGGGAGAGAGAGATGCTAAGCAATCTGACCTCTGAAGGGATTAGCACCGAAGCTGCGGTAAAAGCAAATAATGAAGTGATTTTATAGCCAAACTTTTTTTCCTTGAGCAAGTGTCAGTTTCCTACAATGAGCATTATTCATGCACCGCTACATGTATTTGGGTCTCTTCTAATCGCCGAGACCCATTTTGGAATAAAAGATTACAGCAGGCCGGGGCGGCAGCACGGCCCGCCGCTGCCTTTCTGCTCCGCGGAAAGTTTGGCCGCCTCCCTCCCCCGCTCTCGCATTTAACAGAGAAAGTTGTTAGCGCGCGAGGAGACAAACTTGAAATGTAAAAGGGGAAAGAAGAAAAACAAACACGGCTGGAACCGGGGATGGCAGCTGGAAGGCAATCGAGTTTTCTCTGAGCTGCCGGGCGGTTGTTATTATTAGGATTATTATTGTAATGCTAATACCAGGATTATTAATGATAATAAGGGTAGTGGTAATTGCCCAACTTTCGCTTTACCTATTTTAAAAAATGCTTAGTGGATCGCTTTTGAGAAATTATTTCTTTTAGGAAAAAAAACATTTTCCCCCCAAAGTAACTAGCACCGGGCTGGGCAAAGGAGAGAGCGGCGCGTGCGCGGTTCCTTCGCAGGTTAGCGCGGGACAGCCACCCGGCCCTTCTCCCTCCAGTGCCCAAGTTCTTCCTCAGAGACCTACCTCCTCACACTAGATCGCGGGTCGGGTGGGTCCCTTCCTGCCTGTTTTTCCTCCGCTGTGGGAGGCTGATATTTTAAAGGAGCTAGCTGGTTTCTCTAGACTGCCCTCCACCCCTATTGGCCTCGACAGTCGCCTGGCCTTAGAGAACTTTTCTTGGAATCCCCTCAAGCCTGGGTGGCTTCGGACCTCGGAGGAACATTAGGGAGAGGGTGGTATTCCAAAATTCAGGAGGGAGGGAACTCTTTTCTCTAAGGTTCAAGAGTCCAACCAGCCTGAAGCGATAGGGACTTAGAAATCTTTCCTCTCGCAAACAATTAAAAGTGGCCACACTTTGATAATAGTAATGATGGTAGTAATAATTAACTTCTTTACATTAAATTTTCCCGTTGCGACTCCACCCAAGGCCTCCAGTCTGGGCCCGGGAGCCCTCCGCCCCGGTGAAACTGGACTGTTGCTGCCCGGAGCACTCAGGTTGGGGAGCGCTATCAGGCTGGGGTGCAGCGAGGCGAGTCAGAACCACCCGGCCAGGGGAATAGAGGAGGCCAGGGCGCCACGTGGGGAGGGCCCCGAGGTCTCAGAAGTGGAAACTTGCTCGTGGATTCCGAGGCGTCCTGGTGGGCGCGAATCCTTGAGCAAGGCCCTGGAGGAGCTGCTGGGGGCCGGGAAGGAGGGGGGCGTGGAGAGCCCAGCGGCCTGGGTGGGGGTGGGGGTTCGGTAACGACCAAGCTCGGCCGGGGTAATTACAACCCCGCCATAGCACCTGCCTATAGAGCCACCAGTGACCCGTCAAAAAGAGTAGCATGGGAATTCAGACGGCGACAAAGGCCGGTGGCGGAGGCGCGCGGCGCGCCGACCACCGCCTCGGCGTCCCCTTTCCTGCAGGGTGGGAGGAAAGGTTATGCTGGGGGGGGGGGGAAGAAGTGGCTGGAGAGAGCCAGGCGAAGCCACAGCGGGGCTTGTCCTTCACCCCTTTGGGCCTGTCGCTGCACCCATGGGAACTCACAGGCGCCCAGCAGCCTGGGACTTGAGCGCTGCTGCATCGCACTCACGCTGCAAACAGTAAACTTGGTTTCCTTATTTTGCAACCATCCTTCCCAGCATGACACGCGCCCTCTGGCTGAGCTGGGGTCCATGTTTGGGATTCAACAATCCTGTCGCCCCAGCTGTCCTCTTCCCGGTGGCACTTTTGATGATGCCAAGATGAGGGCGCAGAAGCAGCAGTTGTGGTGTTTCTCCCCGACCCCGCCCTTCCCAACCAGACAGGAGGACCGGGACACACCACATCTCTGGAGAACCCCATGGGGCGCAGGGAGGACCGGTGCGGGGTGGGTGACCCCTCTCCAGCTGCGGGCGGGGGTCCGGGCTCCTCGACAGTCGCCGCGGGGCCGCCACAGCTGCGGGTGGGTCCTGCCTCGGCGCCCACATCCGGGCCTGGGCTCCCGGGGCAGATTAGAGGCCGGCCGACTCGCCTGGGGCGGGGCACAGGAGGGAGGGACGCGAAAATTCCGGGGCAGAGCGGGTCTGCGCCTCAGACTCCGCCACCCAGCCACGTTAAGGTGACTTGGGGTCACGAGACAAGCTGGTTGACCCCGTTGCAAAGCTCCTCTCATTTAGCAAACCGAGCGAGCTCCGACGTGAGGCAAGCGGGAGTTTCCTGAGGCTGGAAAACCGTTCTTAACTTCCCTCGCCAGGGGGTCCCCTCGGGGCTTTTTGTGTGTCATAATTGCCTAAAGATATATGGCAGCTTCGATTACTGTAATTACCATCAGAGGCTGTTGAAAGAAGTTAGTCTGGGCTGCAGGGGTGACTGGCCGGGGTCTTGTTACCACCCAGGCGGGGCTCCCGGGTGACATCGCTCTGCCCTCCAGCTGTGCGAAACCGAGCGAGGCGGGGGCTGCAGACCTCGCCGCCCGGCTCGGTCCTGACCTCGCCCGCTGCGCGCCGACCTCCTCGCCGCCCCGGGCCCGAGGGCCGCAGTTTTCGGCCCGGCTGCCGCCACCTGTCTGGAGAAGGCCGGGATGCAGCGGCGCCGCGGGCGGGGGCTGCCTTCCTGCGGGCCTGAGGAACTTCCCCGGCGGCGGCCGAACCTGCCGCGGGTCTCAGGCTTCCGCGACCAAACTCAGGCTCTTGGGAAGTTGGAGAGCTCCCAAGTCTCCCCAGCAAGTCACTCAGCCTTTTTTTTTTTTCCTGAGTCCGGACGGTTCGCCTGAGTCCCAGTCCACCAGACGCGGGTGCGGCCCCCAGCGAAGCGAGCTGCGCGCCTGTCCCTTCCCTCTATTCCGAGGCCTCGTCTTTTCAAGCTCCCCCCACCACACACCAACCCCGGCGACGCCACACCGCACGTAGACGAACAAGTCCGAGGCTCCTTACTTCTAGGGAAGAAGGCGAGGGCCTGTCACAGGGCGAGGTAGCAAGGAGGCCTGCCGAAGCCCGCGGGCTCTGGTTTTTGCAATAGAGGCTCAGAATGCAGCAGAAAAGGTTTCCTTCTGCGCCTCTAGGAGGACCTCCCACGCCAGACATGGGCCACAAAAAGCGAGCCCACCTCGCTTCCCCCAGTCGAGAGCAGCCAGGGCCAGCGTAGGCCCGAGGCTAACTGGAAACGCCAGGCCTCCGCAAGGCTACGCTCGGATTTGGGCGTCTGCAAAGTTTCCTTCTCTCTTCCCCCTGCCCTAGTTTAAACATTTCTCCTTTTCTCTTTTTGTTCACGTTCACTTTACTTGAATTTTTAAAATGGTAACACCCAAACCAAAGCAAACGTTTAAATTGCTTCCCACTTAAGTGGGACTTCATCATCAGTCCTCAGAAGTATCTTGGATTCTCCCAACTTTCAAAGACTCAGGACAATGAGGGCGAGTGAGGGGAGGGGGGCGTTTGAGGAAAGCACGGAGCGCCCAAAATGCTATGGGCGAAGGCAACAAGGGCGGTTTGAGAACTCCAGGACGTGGGGACTGCGACAGGGGCCACCCCCAGCTTTGGGCCCCGGAAAAGGCAGCTCCGGGCTACCGGAAGGCGGGAACTGCCATGCCCGGGGAGATCCGAGCCTTGCGACAACGCCCGCCCTACGCGGGCTCGGGCCTTCACATTCTCGGGTTCCGCAGGCACTGGGCCCGAAGATGCCCTCGCACACACACTTAGCCCCCCACTCTGGCATCTAGGGGCAGTTAGACATCAGCCGCAGCTCGGCATCCTGAAGGGGAGCCCCCAGCTAGGCAAGTTTGAGGAAGGAGAGGAGCGCGCGAAGGGAACAGGCCGCACACTCCTGCCTCCGCCGAGCTCCCGCTCGAAAAATCCTTGGGATTAGGGATTTGGTCCCCTCTTTGCTACAGCGGTTCGCCATACTTTAAATTCCCCAGTTATGACCTACGCGGATTTAGGATTAAGGAAAATGTGACTTTTAAATTGTTTCTGCTTCCCAGTTTGCAGGATTATTTGAAATAGCTAGAAACGGGGTGCAAAGCATTCCATTCAAATCCGCTTTGCGCAGAGTTGCTTTTGCGCGCTGGAGCTCGGAGTTTAGAGCGAGCGTGTTATTGTGCTGCCGCCTGGAACTGCGGCCTAGTTCCCGCCCCCGTCGCCCCCCCCCCCCCGCACCTGGCGGCCAAGCGGAGACAACTCGCGGGACTGGTGGGCAGCATGGGTCTCAACCTTCCCACCATACCAGGGCGGGGGGGGGGGCAGGGGGAATCAAGCAATCCAGAGGTAACGAAATTCTTCTTCCCTCACCACGAAACATCCCGACTCACGGTCTACGAGAGGCTGGGCCAAAGCGCACTCGCCGCCGGAGTCTCTTTCCCGGGCTCGGAGCTGCCGCGCTCTGGGCAGGACCTCCCTCGCCTCCCCTCCCGCCCACCCCAGGCTGCGCTCCTGAGCCCCGCGGCGGCCCCAAAGGTACCCACTTGTTGATCCGGCCGGCTTGCTCATGCTGGCTGTCCCGGGCCGGAGCGGTTGGTGGGCGCTGCC